TCTCACCCTGTGCACGCCTCTCACCCTGTGCACGCCTCTCACCCTGTTGAACACTAGATGTTTGTGCGTTTTGTTGGAGGTTCTCGATGCTGATTTAAATATTTAGATTAAAACTGTAATAAATCGTCGGATGTTCTGGAGTCTTGTTGTCAGGAAACATGAAGGTCCCGTCAGAAACATCCGCTCTCTGGTCTCCGCAGGATGTCACTGACTTTATATTTTTACATTTTGGCACAAACATGTCCGTTCTGTAAACATCTGTTTGATTCGTTCACATGTGGAACAACTTTATAAAAATATGAGTTTAACTCAAAGGGTCAGGAACTGAAATGAAGAATTTAAAGAACCTTTTTATGACCCGTTGGTTTCGATCAATCATCTTTACGTCTCTTACAAACCGTTCAGAACCAGCAGCTGGTATTTTAACAACATGGACCCAGAACCAGGTCCTGGTTCCTGTCAGTTCACTGCTTGTTTCTAAAGTTCTTAAAGTTCTGGCCTCGTCTTATTCATCTGATGTTCTCAACACGTCCAGTCCAGTCAGAGCAGTCCGCTCCACCAAGCAGTTCCTCTCAGATGTTCTCAGATCCAGGTCCAGAGGAGATCAGGTTTCTGTTGCTCCTGGACTGTGGAGCAGATCAGCTGATGGCTTAAAGACTTTAAATCTTCTCAGACTCTTTGATCCAGACAGAACTGAAGGTTTTATCTTTGTTGTTATATTTTATTTACATCTTTCTGGGATAAAACAAGATGTTTGTTCTTTTACTTGTTTTTATTTGATTCAATATTAAAGCACTTTGGTCAATGTTTGTTGTTTTTATGTGCTAAATAAATAAACTGACTTTGACAACATTAGTCAAATACATCATTTAAGTGAAATAACAAAGACCGGCAGTTTAACTGATGAAGAAAATAAACTCTTTGTTTTTCTGTAAACACTTAAATCTGTTGTTGTTGTTGTTGACATCAAATTAACATGTCTGTAAAAAATAAAAACATCTATATCCTCATTTACAAGACTCGTGTTCTGATCACCTCGATTCATTCAGAAGAGACTCAGAGGGGGGTCTGGAGACAGCCCACCTCTGGTCCTCAGAGCGGCCCAACCAGGCCTGGACTGGTCCACATGTGAACTGGGGCTGGCTGTGGGCCTTGGACTGATTCAGATAACGTGACCAAGTGATGATGTGTAAACTCTGTCGCTGGACTCATTTCAGGGAAGAACTTCCTGTTGGTTTCTCTTAAAATACTCAGACAAGCTTTTAATCTTTAACCCTTTAAACATTTTCACATTTGTTTTAAACGATGAAAACTGGAGCGGTTCTCAGACCCGTGAGTCCACCACATGAAGCTGCAACGTCACTTCAACAAAACTTCTACAGCTCAAAGACAATCGCTAAGTCAAGTTCCTTCACCGTGTTTTCAGAAATGTTGCGAGACGTCTGTCTCACATACAACACGTAGAGCAGTATGTAACATGACATGCATAGAAACACAGAGAAACATGTAGAGCAACA